AAAAAATTAATAAAATCACACAATTTGTATTGCATTATGTAACACTTTTTACATACCAATTTTTTAATTCATTTTTTCCCCAAAAGATTAAACTATTTCATTTTCTTCCATTTTTTTCTTTCTCGTTCATTTCTCTCTCCATAAACTAACATTTGATTGAGTCTTTCCATTGCATTATTTACATAATTTTTCATTTTCCTTTTATAAATTTTTTTATAAATTTTGTAAATTATATTTATATGTTCTTCACTTCTTAGAAGCTTCCTCTTAGAAAAGGAAAAAAAAAATTTAATCACAAAAAATATAAATAAAATTATTCATGCATCCTTGAAAAATTTCTAAGTTGCAAAATTATCCAACTTTAAATCGAAAAGAAATTAGATTGTTTTAAATTTTCATGCACTGAACAAATAATTTTACATTTAGAGTGTGTTTGATTGACATGGAAAATATCACCTAGAAAAGAAAATGTTTTCATTCTTTTGTGGAAAATAAAAATCACCTCCACCCAAGGAAAATGTTTTCCTTAAAAACGAAAATTAGACATATTTTCAAAATTTGAAAAATGTTTTCCATGAAAAAAATTAGTAATCAAACACTTCAAGTAGAAATTTGGATGGAAAACTGATATTTTTCATGAAAAATAAATGTAATCATACACACCCTTACAAGAAAGTAACTAAGAATTTTTGGAAAACTGATATTTTTCATGGAAAATAAATGTAATCATACACACCCTTTCAAGAAAGTAACTAAGAATTTTATTTGTTTTACAATGTTTAAAGAGATAAAATAGAAAAGATTATTTCTAATGTAATGGACATTATTCTCTTAGTACTCAAACTGCATATATTTCATAATAGAAGAAAGAGATGGGAAAGATGGTAAGTTGTGAAATGATGGTGTCTTCTAAAAGCTAAAAAGTATTCGGGTTTGTAATTTAAATGTGGTGTGGGCTTAGTCAAAATTGTTAAGTTAATTAAGATGTCAGTGTCCGTAGGACCTTAATACCAACTTAAAAAAAAAAAATTAAAGCAACTGCACGATGGCCGGCAACAAGCGGCGGTATCCGATTCTGTGGACTGATATGATTCGATGATATCATCTATGACCGAGTTCGTCTCCAATTCAAATTTTAACTATGATAATATTTATGCTTAATTATAGCCCTTGTTTGATTGTCATTTTTGAGAAAATAATGTATTTTAAATAGTATATTGATAGGAAATGTGTGATTAAAAATTAAAGAAAACTTTTAGATTTACGTGTAATATTATTTTATTAAAAAATGTGTAGTTAAAAATAAGTTTTGAAAAAATGAATTTTTAGAAGAATGATAGTAAACAAGGGCATAATAAGTTACATTCATAGCATTTGTCATATTGTAAGAATAGTATAAATAGATTTTGGAACAAACATTTAGCAATCAATTCTTTAAGTACATAAAATTTTGATAGAGAATACATAACGGAAATTGATTGAAAGATAGAATAAGAAAACAAAAAACAATCCAATCATCTATGGCCATGTTGGTGTCGGTAAAAATTCTATCAAGAATTCTCTGTACTCATGGCTTTTCCAACAGCTTTTTCCAACATTAAAGAACCTACATGATAGAGACAACTAGCTCTTTGACTACCTTGCCAGACAAGCTTGTTATATAGAAATGCAATAATTTAATAACTCCTTAGAGCGGGAAGAAGGGGAGTGGTGACCCCTCCTTCCCGTGCTATATTATACTTGACGATGGCTCCATACTAGTACAATAACCTAAGGGCCCTCTATACGCTATGAGCTACTTGTGAGTTTAGAGTTATGAGATAAAGGAAGAGCATCGGGATGCTTGTACATTCAAGAATGTGTGAGCAAGAGGAAGAGCCCATTC